TATATATATGTATATCATTAAAATATATCATATATCATGTAAATATATTAGAGTAACTATATAGAATTTTAAGGAGTAAATATAGTATTTTTATACTCAAAAGGAAAATTTCCAATAAAAATATAAAAAATGCAAATAGATTAAATTATGAAAAAAATCACTGGTTATATTAATCATAAAGTTGGATATTAAGTTGGTTGTTGTTGGGGTTTTTTGCATATATTACCTGAAGCTAAAGCAACCAAGAACTGCTGCAATTTATTGAGCAGTAGTCATGTATTTGCATGGTGTGAAAATTTTTTGCCAATTACTCACAAGAGTCTTGAACAGTGAGTAGATAGCAGCCAGATCATCAGGTTCCTCTTCTTTCTTGGCAGATGGTTTTGTCTTCAAACCTCAGTAAATTTTGAAGGGAACCAAACTTTCTCTGTGTCATCAATATTCTACCAACCTCAAGCCCATGTCCTTCATTTTTGACCCGTGCTTTACATTCCTGTGAATACCATGAGAAAGTCCTGCTAAGTATAGCAGACCTATATATTCTTTCAGTTCAGCTAGGGAGGTTTCATAATAAACACATTTTTTAGTATGGCTACTGGTATAAAGAGTACATTTTAACTGTATTTCACAACATCTTATATCATTTCATTTCTTACAAATGATTTCCAAAATTGAATGGCAATGCTGGGATTCTGTACAATAGGTTGTAGCCCTACCTAGCTCCTTACTATATTTTTGGACCTCTTTCTATGATTGCATCATTGCATTTAATTTAATTTCCATTTTGCACCATTTCAACTAGTCAAGTATGTATTTACATTGCTCCTTTGTTCATAATCTGAATCAAATAGGTCTGCATTTCCTGGGTATTGCTTCATTTCACCTGCACAGAAACTTTGGCTCACAGGGCCATTGTCAAAGTCAGTATCATTTCCATGGCTCATGCCTTAGTAATCTGATGCTTCACTTGTGACCTCCTCCAACACTTGCAAATCTATTTTTCATGAGACATTTTGCTGAATTGGACTAATTGCATGAGAATAATCCGAAGAAACCTTTTCAAAAAGAAATAAAAATGCATATAATTTTAGCAATGAGAATTTCAAGGGGAGAACTCAGCTGCTGTTCCTTTGGAGCTTTTGTAGACAACTTGCCATTCATCTGCAATGTGGGAGAACACACAGATGGGTTTTTGCTTCCCCCAGCAACAGCTACTGTGAGACATAGCCACATTCCATTATGGTAAAGTATGTGTTTACTTTAGAAGAGTAGCATACACAAAAATGGTTACATGAAGGATTATGAGGGTAAATCTCCTCATTTGATATTTTTTACATGAGTATACAACTTAGTCTTCATTCTTCAAAGTCAGTAAATACAAATGTTGCTTCCTGAGCACCCCAGACAAAGGTACTGAAACAAACAATAGGCTACTGTTATGCTAAAATACAAATATACAGTAGGAAAATATGGAAGAAATTGCTGTAACCTGATGTTATGCTCCTTAGTGGTAGAACAAATAATTTTATCATGTCCTACTGGCTATTTTGAGAAAACTTAAAAGTAAGTTTGCATGTAAGCAATATCATAAAAGCTATATTTTCTTTATTTAACATGATTTTAAGATAGTAAAAATAAAAATGGTTATCAGGAAACGTTTAAGGTCATGATTAATTATGTTTGCCTACATCTGAGTAAAAATATCTGACTGAATTTTTTTTTTCAGTGACAGGGATCAAACTCAGTATCTTCTGCTTTTGAGGCAGCAGCTAAGTCCCTGGCCTGATCTGGATATTTATTTAGTGGAAAAGATAATAAAATGTTGTCAATATGACTGAAAAAGAGAATAACACCATAGAATACTATTAGAAAACTGTCTTTTATTTCCATAGATAATTAAAGGTGAAGCTCAAAGGTTATTCTGATAAAACCTAGGATTTCTAAGCACTTTACAGAGAAGACCAAGAAAAGTCTTCTGCTTGTGGATACTAATGAATAAGGCAAAAGAAATCTGTCCTTGCTCAGTGAGTTTTGCAACAATTTTAACAGATTCCGTAATTTCTTTCATACTCAAATTAAAAGTACTATCCTAGCTTAAATTAAATTTAGAAATTCTGTACTTGCTGAATTACACAATGGGAGGCTCCTAGACACACTGGGGTATGCTGCATTGGAAGCACCCTGGACCCTTCTGGAAACCATCCGCGTGGGTGTATGGGGTTCCTCAGTGAGGACAGCTCAGCTGTCCCCTCCTTGTGGCTTTGCAGGTGGATGTTCTGTCTCAGCACCTGCCAATCTGATTACTGAGAAAACAGGACTATGTTTCACGTTGGAGCTTCAGATGCTTCCCACATAATGAACCCAATGTGTGTTCTCAAAATTATTGATTTTTTTAGGGGGTGGATCCTACTGCAGATTTTTTTTCTGATACTGCCCATCAAATTAATGACTTTATGCTCACAAGACAGACAGAGAACAACTGGGCTACATTTTGTCCTTCAACTTTTGATTTGTTTTCAATAAATGAAACACAGGAATGAGATAATATATGATCCAAAATGAAATCTGATCACAAAACACAGCCAATCTTTTCAGAAAGCTAAGAACCAAGGGAAAGTTGCTTTGTCAGAGAGGATTGTCAGGTGACTTCATGACACACACATTGGCTTTTTGGGGTGCAGCTTCTGACCTCAGGTGGCTCTTGGGTGTTTGCTTCATAGGGCAAGAGATAGATAACAACACTCCAGAACTCTCCAAACTGAGAGCTGAGAAGACTCCATGATACACTGGAGTTCCCGTGTTCTGTAGATATAAAGGAATTTTACATGATGGGCAGCCACTGAGTAGGCAGGGCTGACAACAGCTTCCTCAGACCCCTTTTTATGTCACCATTTCGCAGGGTGTAGATGACCGGATTCAGGATGGGAGGCAGCACAGTGTACATCACAGAAGGCAGCCTGTCAATAACTGGAGGTGTATCTGCAGGTGGCCTCAGGTAAACCATGAGTGCACTTAACATAAAAATGGTGAAGACAACAAGATGAGGGAGACACGTGGAGAAAGCTTTAGACTGACTTTTCCTGGGTGGAATCCTCAGCACAGCGGAGAGAATGTGAACATAGGAGAACACAATGCAGACACAACAAAACAGGCCCAGACACAGTCCTATTCCCATGCTGGGATAGATCGCCAGGAGTGTGTCAGAGCAGGAAATCTTGAGTAAGGAGGGAATGTTGCAGAAAAACTCTGGGATTACACTGGAGCCACAGAAGGGCACAGAAAATGTACCAGCAGTGTACAAGGCTCCAAAGAGTCCCCCCAAAGCCCAGGAAGCTCCTGCCATCATCACACAGGCCTGGGCACTCATGATGGTCTCATAGTGCAGGGGACAGCAGATGGCCACATAGCGGTCATAGGACATGGCAGTCAGGATAAATGTCTCACTTGCTGAGAAGGATGTTATTAAAAGGAGCTGGAAGGCACAGCCCGGAAGGGAAATGGAGTTGCTGTGAGTCAGACTGTTGAGGATGAACTTTGGGACTGGCACAGACACCAGGGAGACATCCAGCAAGGACAAGTTCTTCAGGAAGAAGTACATGGGTGTCTGGAGCTGCGAGTCCAAGGTAAGGACAGTGACAATGAGAAGGTTACTCATCAGGGCCACCAGGTACATCAGCAGAGAGAGCACAGCACAGAGTGTCTGCATCTCGGGGTCCTCAGCAAACCCCATGAGAAGGAAACTTGTCATCAAGGTGGTGTTGACCATGCTACAGCCTCCTCACTGCCTGTCAACATGAGGACACACACAATAAGAGAAAATGTAATAATAAGGCCCAAAATAGTGACATTAAATTCACAAACATTCGGTTGTAAAAGAAGCATATAACTACTGCACCTTAAAAACATTTTACATTTTCTTAAAAATTCCCTTTCCTCTCACCCTCTAATTTTCGGTCGTTTTCTTTGTATCATCTTGTTCCCGTCCTCTCAACTCTCTTCCGTATTCCTCTCCCATGCTTCCCTTTCCAGCTAAGGATCGAACTATGTATCTCATGTGTGAAGTGTAGCTGATCCACTGTGAAGCTCCATGCCAAATGGAGACTCTTTTATTAATATGAAACAATTCATATGAATAACAGGTGAGGTTAGTTAGCCCTGTTTATAGTTTTAGAGTTTTGACACTCAGAGTTTTGGGAAGGAATTCTCAGGGTTTATGGGTCGTCCTGTTTTGCCTTAATATGTACAGAATTTGTTCTCATTACATAGGATATTTCAGACAGCTAGAAGGAAAGATTCTGAATGTTCTCATAACAAAAACATGAAAAACTGTTAATGCCATGTGTTAATTACTTTGATATGATCGTTACATAGTGCACACAGGTATGAAACAGCATGCTACCTACAGAAATATTACACTAACTATGAAAGAGACACACAAATGTATAAACAAGTAAATTTGCCCCCATTAGTCATTATAAGAGCTCACCTCTTGCTGTATCCTCAACTTTGTTTTGAGAAGAGTACAACTTTCCTAAACATGGGAGCTCTAACAACTCACTGGATGTTTGTGTCCAACTATTACTGAGCCATATTTCATGACAAACCTTTTTCTACTTGAATGACAATCTAAAATCCCATGTCTTTCGAGTTCCTTAAATGGTCATGAAGTCATACCCTTATACTAAACAGTGCAACACAGGCAAACCACTTTCTGTGTCCTTATGGATGTGAGCAAGAGGATGTAATTAAAGCTTTACTGTTCAATCTTTACTGTTTTATCTTCAGCTCAGGCAATACTAAAATATTGAACAGGACAGGAGAAGAAAGCTGAGTTATCCCACACTGTGAATATCCTTTGGGTCACACATGTACCAGAGCCTTGGTATGAGGCTTCCTACTGTTTGATTTGTTTTTCAAATTTGATCTTGACATAGTACATTTCTCCTTTTGCCTGATTATATTTCCCTGATGTCATGGTTTCTTCAATTCACTTTCTAATGCTATTAGATATGTTCTTTCTGTGTTCAGAATATATAACAAATTATTGGTTACTAAGTGCAGTACATCTTCTCTAATGACAACATAAAAAAGGTTTCCTATTTGTATCATAAATGAACTAATGATAGAAATAATCTTTTTCCTTGGAGCTGGGTTTTCCTTGGAGGAAGCCAAGAAGAAGAACAAATGAAAAAATTTGTAAGGAAAAATCTAAGGTAGTGACAATGCTTAAGGTAGGAAAAGGTGTTACTGTGGAGATTAATGTGGGGGAGGGCGTTTACCTGGGTGGCATTGGTGTTGACACTGGAATTCAGAGAAAGAGTTCACAGAACAGAGCTGTGTGCAGGACAACTTAGGAAACACACCTGGGGATGGAGTGTGTTTTTGGGCATTTGGGTGACCTGGGGAGAAGCAGGCTGTGGTGACTCTGTAGAGCGTGTGGTGTGAGTGCAGAGAGAGCCCTGTGGGTCGGGCCCTTCCAGTGGCAGTGGGTACAAATAAACATGGTGCAGACAAGAGAAAAAAACAGAAGTCAGCCATTAAAATTATTTTTGGCTCTTTCCTAAAGTTATTTAATGTACAAAAAAGTCTAAAAATTTACATTGAAATGGAGTATTTTAACATATTATCAAAGGACATTTGAAATCCATACCTTAAAATAATCCCAGCTCTTCAATCACCCAAACAAAGGTTAACTTGTCAAATGTATTTTTAGGAAATGATTCCAAAAGATCTACTGAATTAGAAATAATTTTGACCTGAAGATGAGTTACAACATCAAGCTGTCTTTGCAGATGGTCTTCATGACATACAGGTGCACCTCTAGGCTTTAGATGAGGCTCAAAGATTCCTACTAAGCTGCGTTAATTTCAAAGGAAAGAGTGCAAAGTAAAGCAAATAGGAAAGTCCTTTGTCTTTTATAAATTTCAAGTCTTGAATCACTTGAAAATGAGTTCAGGTACAAGGTACACAGCAGATCTGTGTAAGGGCTCTTAACTAATACCCAGGATGCCCCAAGGGAAAAGGTCTGAATAGCCTTATTAAGTGGTTATGCCTCAAGACCATTAGCACTATAATCACTATTGTTTTCTCTACACAGATTGCTGGCTACAGAATTTACTCTGCAACACCATGAAGGACGTGGCTCTGATATTTAACAGTACTATAGCAAGCTCATTGTATACTCCCTTAATTCTATTTATCATAGAGTTGCACAATCAAAGATATTTGTAACCAAAACTTTGTAATTTGCGCAGTTCATTTAAAGTGAATATATGAAGATTCCCCCTATCAAATATCCCTAATAACTTTCTTCTACTTATGATTTTGCAAAACCAAATCACAATGACATGAAAAGTGAAATAAATTATAATGCTCATCTTTTCATATCCTTCACTGACTAGTACTGAAAATGAAATATCTTTTAAAGATAGACCTGTAGGATTTTAAAATATATATTTATTTATCTCTTTTCCATGTAAAATTTTTAATCAAATTAGATGAAAATTTTTAGCTAAGTTCTTCCAACATAATTTTAACTATAAAAAATATAATTAACAAAATTCCATTTATCTCCTGTATGGTCTGAAATAACATTAAAATTTATAAAGCTTGATTTCTCCTCCATGGGAAATCAGACATACAATTAGAAGTATAGAGAAGTAAATGATAATTGTAATACTCATTTCTCCTCTGCATTACTAAGGATATCCATTTATATTTTCTTGAATACAATCTTTATTTTCATGAACATAAACCAAATGGAATTTTTCCAAAGAGAGAAACAAAGTATACAGTAAAAAGCAATGCAGCATGTTAGTTAGAGCAAGAGATTGAACACCTTTGCAATGTAGGATCAATAACTTCCCAAATACTTGAATTAGCTCTTGTGTCAGTGTAGGATAGGAGAAGAGAAGGTTAGATGGAATTATGTTTTTAAGTTTTCTTTGTGAATAACTCTGGCTAGTACCAAGAAGAAGACATCAGAATTCATATTTAGAAAGAAATACGTGGATCTCAGTCTTGCTCACCTGCTCATTAAGAGAGGATCATTTCCCCTTGTATTAAGTTGGATATGTCTGAGACAGAAAGGGCTTGGGTAATGGCCTTTGTGGAGAAAAGCTGCTCACATCATGGGACCAGGAAGCAGAGAGCCCATGGACACCAAGGAGGGGGAAATCTTCATAGGTCACAAGTTTAGCTGAAACCCCAGTAAAACATCTATTCCAACTGTACCTCAACTTGTAACAGCAAAGCAAGTCTAGCACCCCATAGTCTAATCACTTCCAAACAGGCCAGGCTGTTAAGAAACACACTGGATCTAACTCATAACACTGAGTTCTGGCCCTGGTCTTAAAATTTTATCAGCTTGCTATCTTTGGAGGAGAGTTTATATCATGAGTTCTTTGGGTGTTTTCTGATGTCAGTGACATCCTTCCTGTTCTCCTTTGTGTCCCTGAATTTTCCATATTTTAATACTGAAAAACTGGGATCCCAGCAATATCAAAACACGAGTCACTTGCACAGTTCTAGAGAATTCACAACAGAAGATTCACATGGCTGCAGTGACCCCACTCCCAAATGAGCCCACATAAAATATTCAAGACATATTTGGGGCACTTTTCACCCTTTAGATGAAGGTATATATTTAAACTCTATTCCACAAAGTATATAGAATGGTGTCTTTTTATTTTTAATAATGGTTATATGCTTTATTTGAAGTACAGTCATTTAATTTGACTTAGTTTGCATTCAATTTTTAAGTCTTCTTTTTCCCATATCTTTGATGACACACTTTTGGATAAGAACACAACTAGCATGTTACTCAACACTAAAGGGATTTAAAACAAACAAAAAATACTTTTCCTGACAAAAGTTGCCTTTCTTCCTGTCCTTCCCACTCTTTGCTCAGCTCATACAGTAAATACTCTTCAAGATTTCCTGGTTTATCGATCCTGTGTTTCATCCATCAGGAGGAAAATCACATCTGTTTTGTTATTGTTACATACGACTGGTATTGTCTGGCTTCTCTTCTCTAATTTAATAGGTGTGCACATCAGTAGCTGTCCATCACTGCATGGAGGCTGCTTTCTTTCTCACACCTGAAGGATACTTAATGTGTGTGTGTGTGTGTGTGTGTGTGTGTGAGCGTGTGTCATAGTACCTTCAAATGGAATTTTCAAACTTTTTGATTAACAATAAAGATGCAAATAAGAGAACTTGTGATGATTGATTATTGATTGTATCAGTGACTGTTCATTCCATAAGACAGCCACACTGGTCCTGTTTATCCTTAGCCTTGCACTTTTTACTTCTTCATAGTATGCTGGGTCCGTTTTCTCAAAGCAGTTATCACCAAACAAAATTTATACAACCAACTGATTTTAACAGAACTGAAAAGGAACATCTCAAAGTCATTCTTAGCCCGGGGGGGTCTAAAAAATCGTGCCTCACATCTGTTAGCTATATATAAGCTTAACACTACAATTACAGAAAAAACGCCAATCCACTGATTCTGCTAGTAAATATTATTTTCTTTTGGCGTCTTCTCTTTTTGTTCCTGTCTTTTTATTTTCTGTCAGCTTTAGAGATCATCTGAATATGTTTTATAATTGTATAAAAGCGTGTTGTCTATCTTTCTTATGTATGTTTAATCCTCCTAGTAAGGTGGTGCCTAGTTCATGAACTCAATTTTTTCCATGATTCTGATGACAACCCAAATTGGACAAGAACAGAATCAAATTTCCCCATAAGGTCAACATTGATTCA